CCCCACCGTCCTAAATGTTGCACACGAAAACCAACCAACAGGAGCGAAGCATTTTTTCACGGTGGGAAATTTTCTCGAGTTGAAAGGGGTTTTATGTTGGCGATTTAAAATAAGATTCATGACATATAAAATCATTTTCTGCTTTTGTGATTTTAAAATACACCATATCGTGGTAAACCGAAGCATCTGCGCTTAATAAACAGATTTTAACTTCTGGAAAGTGTTGAGAACAAAGAAAACTTCCGCGTGTTTTTTGTTAGTATCCAAATGACCTCGTCAAGACTTCAATCAAACTTCCACATGGCCAGAATATTGTCGCGAGTTTTGAAAAATGCACTCAAAAACATTTTCATTTTTCAACAGCGGATCAAATTATGACAACATTCGCTCATTATTCCGAGTACTTGGACACCTTCGCTTTCAAAAGTTGTCCAGGGCAGCTCTGCAATAATTTTTTTAAAGATCATTTCGTTGGTTTTATTTCCGAAATTCACTTCGGGCTGCAATTTTCAGAAGAAACCCGTAATAAAGGACTAGATGGATGATGATTTGATGTGTGGAGGCAGAGCACCAGAATCTCAGACAAGGAGAGAGAAGTCCTGCGAGGATATTCCACTGTTGCATAACCTTTACGGAGGGCGTTGAATCTAAAAATCGTTTCTGAACCACGAGACGCTTTCGTGCATCTAAGAAAATAAAAAATAAAATAAATGCAGCAGCGTTCCTGCTAACGAGCTGCATAATCTTTATTCCCCTTGTCATTACAACTTTTCCTTTTCCTCACCAAAATTCTGGTATATTTTGAAGGAAAAGAGCGAGAGTAAAACTTCGTCGCAGCGTTCCGACGAAACGCCAGGGCAATTAAACGTGGAAGGCGATTATCGACTACTATTTCCTGCGAGGGGCTTTCAGATACTTTGCAGGGAACTTGCAAAAATTCAAAGTAAAATCTGTTTTTTTTTTCAAAGTATTTCATCTTGAAATCAATTTGATTTTTTTAAGCATGTGGACATATATTTTAAACAGCGGAGAATCATCGAAACCCGACCATTTAACGTCACTTGGACTAATAGAATGTGGCTTTGAATGTTATTCATTTCCAATCATGAGTCAAGTTTATTTCATGGCGTCAATTAAGCAGTTGCTGTAAAATCTCATTCTAAGCAATTTCATTGTAACGAATTATTGCCTACAGTGAATTTCCTTGATTTCGATGCATTGATATTTTCTATGTAATTAACGCTTTACGGTAATTTGACTCGAAAATATGAATCAATGCCCGTCGTAAAGGTTATTTACAATTTTTTTCGAATTTTTTCCTTCAAACTTTCCCAGGTTGAACAAGAAAAATAAATTGAATCTGGTCGCTGAAGAATGAAGTTTTCCTGTCCCAAACGCTGGTACAATACGCTTCTGACGTTTTTTTTCTTTTCTCCACGTTCCTTTAAAAAGTGAAGTAAATCATGAAACTTATGAGAATCCCCTTATTGTGCTGAAAGGAACTCAGAAGTCGTCGACCGTTTGTCGCGAACCGTTCTTCGTAAACATCGGTGACGAGTCCCCGGGAAATAGTTACGCAACGTAGACTTGTTTTGACTAGAAAACTAGTCACGAGGAAGAAATTCGCTAACTAATCATTTAAAATCTTATGTTCTCGGAAGCCCACTTTATGAACGGTATCGTGGTCAATGAACGTTTCAATTCGTCCGTGAGAAAGCTTTTCCAATTGGTTTGTGGAAGGCTGGTCGCGAAGATGACGCGAATCAAATTATTCACAGTCGAATATTTTACTCTATATACGGCATTTGAATCGGCTAAAAGTAAATTAACATTTTAGAGTTAGAGTATTTTATTTACCCCGAGTATGTTTTTTGAGGCTTTGGAATGCTTCGTTTTTTTCCCCTCAAACCAATTTTTCCCCCATTTGTTTTGGACACTTGCTGCTTTGGGAAGCGCCAACTGCACAAACTAATTTTTTTCGAATTTTTTCCTTCAAACTTTCCCAGGTTGAACAAGAAAAATAAATTGAATCTGGTCGCTGAAGAATGAAGTTTTCCTGTCCCAAACGCTGGTACAATACGCTTCTGACGTTTTTTTTTTTCTCCACGTTCCTTTAAAAAGTGAAGTAAATCATGAAACTTATGAGAATCCCCTTGTTGTGCTGAAAGGAACTCAGAAGTCGTCGACCGTTTGTCGCGAACCGTTCTTCGTAAACATCGGTGACGAGTCCCGGGAAAAAGTTACGCAACGTAGACTTGTTTTGACTAGAAAACTAGTCACGAGGAAGAAATTCGCTAACTAATCATTTAAAATCTAATGTTCCCTTAAGCCCACTTTATAAACGGTATCGTGGTCAATGAACGTTTCAATTCGTCCGTGAGAAAGCTTTTCCAATTGGTTTCTGGAAGGCTGGTCGCGAAGATGACGCGAATCAAATTATTCACAGTCGAATATTTTACTCTATATACGGCATTTGAATCGGCTAAAAGTAAATTAACATTTTAGAGTTACTCATAAAATAAATGGGGCTCATACAAAAAACTCCGAAACCTTACGAAGCAAAAAAAGGGGAGTTTGGTTAAAAAGGGGGTAAACAAAACCTGTGAACGACGAAACCCTTCGCGGTTGACGTGTTTGATGCAAGTGAAACATAAATTTAAAGACTGATTTTGAAAATTAGCGAGGGAAAATTGCGGAAATGATCTACAGTATTGTGGTGCAAACATGAAATATTTAGCAGGATTTCATTTAGGCGATCGAAAATGAGTTTCAAATAATTACGAATATGCATGCGTTCAGCCACGAAATTATTTAAAAAATGTTCGTATAAACGCAAAGCTTACCTTGAATATTGTCTCAATCATCAACCAATAGTTCAAGCCTCGGATAAGTATGTACTAAAATTACCCTGAAAAATATTCTAATCATCCCAATTACCGCAGTTAAATCGGAGTTCTTAAAGTGCCAACCGTGGAAATACCAGAGAAACTCTTGACACAGTAGTCCAGCCCTCAACTTCGGGCATCAGTCTTGGTTTTTCCTCGAATGGGTTTCGCTGGGTTGAGCAACTCCATGCCCATAAACAGGAATCTGGAAGCTGTTCACGTGTGCTAATGAGGTCCAGTTGATGGAAATCTACTGAAGGTGGGGGAAAAAGGAGCACTTGAACTATTTTCTTCTGAAGAGAGAGAAAGAGAGACGGAGATAAATGCAAAGAACCTTCGATGGTGAAAACGGTTTTAATTTATGACCTTCCCTTTTACAAAACCGTTTGTTTCTCAGGTATGTAAAACATGTTTTCTTTAATATTTTTAAACTGCAGCTCGTACCGAGAGTTTAAATAGACGAGTGAGAAAGATTTGAACATTTTAAGATTGTTGCGGTCCTCTAAATGTCATTGAATTTCACGTGGTCCTCGTCAGCGAGAAATAAAAATTCCGAGGATATTAGTTTCGAAAACAAGAAATTTATTGCACAGGTAATTTGGATAATTTTGTCGGTGATTCTAAGACGTACGAGAGCATTTAAAATAATAAAAACAAGACAAGAGATCCAACATGACGTCCTTTTTTGGTCTTCCAACTCGACGGTACAGGCTGGGAAAAATAACTTTTGCATTTTTGAATTTTTGCTTCTAATAAAAAGTACTGCCGCAGGGGAAAAAGTCTCGCGTCAAAGATCTTCTTTTTCGTGAGTAAAAATAAAAAAATGGGATCAAAGCGTAAGAGATTTGATTCACAAATCATCCACGGTGAGTTGCGCCACCCGGCGAGAAAGAAGCTACCGTTTCCAGAAACTACGCAGAAGATTGAATAAGAAATTCCCCACGAAAAAAAATGGGATCAAAGCGTAAGAGATTTGATTCACAAATCATCCACGGTGAGTTGCGCCACCCGGCGAGAAAGAAGCTACCGTTTCCAGAAACTACGCAGAAGATTGAATAAGAAATTCCCCACGAAGACCCCGATTTGTTATATATTTTGTCATGGGCACGTGTTGGTTCAGGTGATCCGAGGTCAATCGCATTCGCTGAGCCTCGATGAAAACGACACCTGTTACCCAACAAGGAGGCGTGAAGCACATGAGCCAGAATAAACCTGCGATGCAATATCTTTACCTTGCTTTGCTCTTCTGTGCTGATTATCTTTGGCAAACACGCGGCTGGAAAATGCAATACCACTCAATTGTTCCAAAGAAGAGCAAATACGAGAAAACCAGCATGTGCAAAAAAATCTGAAAAGCTTTTCGGAAGAAAATATCTTTAAAAAACAAGTCACATTAGCAAAAACAGAGGTTTGCGATTGTGCAGAAAAAGGAATGAATAGAGCTACATCAAGGATACACCAAAAAAGTTCATGCAATTCCGACTTAACCTCCTGGAGCCAAACCGGAATTTTTTTTTTCAACATCGCGAAAAAATTATCAGATCTCATATGTTCGAGTTTTCTTTGATTAATTTCACATGCGTAATTGCTACGTTTTTTTCTATTTTAAATCACGCCAATTTCCGCACCCGTTTGACTCATGAACTAGATTGGCTTATTCTCATCCAATCTTCTTTAGTTTAATATTTCTTAACATGTAACCGGGGTGATATGAATATGTACTGTATTGTTGAGTGACAACAGCGAACTTTTCTCGATAAATTCAATGGCGAGAAAATCCAAATGAGGGTTTCCCAAGAAAAGTTTTGCTTCGCTTTCATCCAAAATTTAAGCATGGAATTTCACGCGTCTTTATATTGCGTGAAATTTTTCAAGGCATCAGCATGAATCATATATTCATATAAGAACAATAAAATAAACATTTCCAGTATACCGCCTTGTCGCCGTGTTTGGATCAATAACAGCAAAATAATCCGTCATCCGATTTCATGCAAGCCACCACCAAAAAGCAAGTACTGGGTCTTGCAGCACGCAAATATTTGCAAGTCATTCGTCACATGCCTTCTATACATGCCTTCAAAAAGAAACGATCAGTCAAATGAAAACAGAACCTCATACAAGGTGTCGACCACCATGGATCGTTTTATCAATCGCGTGGAACAATCACGACTGCGTGCTGAATTCCAGAATTTTAATTCTTCGGCACACATTATGAATGAGAATATTCTAGGAGGAAATCAATTCAGTATGAAAAATTACGATAGCTTTGCTTAGCTATGAAAAACTACGACAGAAATTAAATAGAAAAGGACGTTTTTGAACGTCGCTTCCGGAATTTTAGTATGTCAGCAACGTATCTTGAAGTCCTTCTTCTCGGTCAACTCATATGGAATGCATGGTTTCGAACTGCGTAGGTCAGGCAGTTCAACTTTGTCCTCCATCACAAACAAACAGTACAAATCGAAAATGACCATCAGGATGACGAAGAGCCAGAAGAGGAAGTCGTCGAAACTGGGAGGCAATTCTATGTCCCAAGCTTCAAGGCTGAATAAGGTTTTCCAACCTTTCTTTTTCTCATCCTCGTCATCCTCCATGAACCCAAATCCCTGTCCAGCGAACAAATCGAACAGCCCAGGTTCACATTGCTTCAGGGGACAACCAGTCGATATTGGAAGAGCCATGATGTGTGGAATCATTTTTCTCCAATCCTCCTGAAAATAATTACAGTATCACTTTCATGAATTGTTTTCCTTCAATTTTCACCAGTTTCTAGAGCATTTCTCAATACTAAAGAGATACGCGTAATTTTTTTTTAAAGATCTAAATCATAACCAAAACAAAAAAGGAATTTCAATTGGACTGATTTCTGCCGTAGGTTCGATAGCATTCATTTTCGTAAATTCGATGTACACAAAATAATTTCTCCGCAAGCATTCAGACATGACAACATTGCCGACGGAATCATAAAAGTTGACAACAATTCATGTTTGAAGTTAAAAGGCTTCCGGACGTCCATGAAGAATTTATCGACACTGCAAAATGTAAAACGCTGAGTAAGATGGATTCCTTGGTTATCAAAAATGGTTCAACGAGGACCCACAAATGCTGTAAAATCAAATCCAACTTGCACATGTCATTTCCATCAAATTATGCACAAAAAACCACGAAAACGACGGTCCAATTTTGTTGATTTACGATAAATCCATTCCACTTCGAATTATAATTTAAAAGCCTCTTAATCCATTACATATACTGTACTGTTATTATAAACATGTTTGTAAGGTTGAATTTTTTCTGTTCCATCATAAGCTAAAAAACAAACCAATGCATTGTATAGGCATGCTTTGTAGTACAGTTGTTCCATACATAATTTAACATTCAGATTCTGCATTGCAGCCGAACAGATCATCTTCTACTTTCAACCTATGAGAAGCGACATCTGTTCAACAAAGTTTAAATTTCTACCATCAAGCCTTTGAAAACGAAGAGGCAGAGTCACTGCAATTCTCAACGTACCTTGACGTATGCAATCATGGTCTTGGGGGTATGAGGTCCTCCTTTAGGACTGAAAGTGTCCTCCAGAATCGGAATTGCGTAATACAAGCATATCGTCCAAATAACTATTCTGAAATTGAACCATCCCCAGTTACCCATGGGCCCCGCATACGCGAACCCCAGCAGCAGAAGCAAGAGACACTTCTGCATATCCTCGTCCTTGGCGCATATGGCCTGAATCATCAGCATAAGGAACACTCCAAAGAAAAGCACGTCTGCTAATGGATCTCCCATTCGATTACTGATGTTGGGTCTTCCGGCAGACATTAGCGTGATTATGAATCCGGCCCACATGAGGCCAGGGCACAAAGCCCAGCATCCGTGCTTCTGCAGGTAGGCACACAACAGGGCCACAAAGGACAAGCTGAACATTATGTAGTAGAGACGACGGATGACGGGGAAAATGAGGATTTGAAGGATGCCGAAGCAATGTGCGATGAGCATGTAGTTGGTGAACTGAACAGAGTTCCACCACAAGAAATTTGCTGGCCACATGTAGCCATTGCTGAAGCTGATGACGAATTTGTTCCTGATTTCCTCTACCTTCTGCAAAAATAAACGAATCAAATATTTTTGAGAAATTAAGAAAAGAAAAAAACGCTTAAATAATACCCGGCAACAAAATTTTCAATCTTCGAAGGCCACAAATGAACAGCACAGAGAACAATATCAATTAGAACTATATTTTTAGTTTTGTGAAGCGTTGAAGAAAATTTTCAGAATACAGTATGCGGTAAATTCAAGTGCCTTTGGTAGACCTGAAATTCCATATTTCATAAAAATGAACCACTGACCTACATATGCTAAATACCCTCATTTAAAACATTAGGTTGTGATAAAACAGTATATGCATGGTAGCAGTTTAAGCAATATTATTTTTATTCTTTAACCAAAAGAGTTAAGAAATCAACATCAAAGATCAAATGGAATATGCCAGTTGATTTTATATTACAGTAGTTTGCGCGTGATTCGTAATTTTATGATGCTAGGACCACCAGTGATCAGGAAGTACAGTATACATTTAAAAAGCCTCCCGAAAGATCCTTCTCATGAAGTGCAAAAAAGCAGGAGAACTCAACATTCGGTTTTGTATCTGGGTTCAATACTACAGCACGTCAGTATAACATTATGATTGTCAGGTAACGGCAGTATTCTTTTCGGATCAGAAAATATTGTGCGCTAACAATTTTTGAAAGCGGTTCTTCAAAAAGTTCACCTGAACAAGAAACCCGGCACAGATGCAATAAATTAAAATGCAAGTCAGGCTGATCCCACGATCGAAGTACTCCACGGCGAAGACCTTGCTAGCAGAAAGCTCTATGTACGTATCAGCGTAACTCATATTGAAGTGCATTTGCTTCAATAGCCAGATGTCACTCTCATCATCTTTCTCAGGCTGCGTTGTTTGGTGCAAGGGAACATCGAATCGCTTGAAAAGCGTGTCGCCGAGCAAAAGCGCTGATCTCGCCGAAGATTTCTTTGACGCACCGCTTTCTTCACGACCAAGCAAATCATCTGGCTTTCGAATGTCGTAGAATTTCCTCGGACACGGGTACGGATTGTTCGTCTTTTCTGGGGAAGGGTTCGAACCGGATTTCCCGCATGATCCCAGAGGGAGTCGAGGAATCTGAGGCTGCCACAAGGGCGGTCGAGTCTTTGGCCCAGCATAGTCATCGTCGTCTCCCATTTACGTTATTATTGAGGAAATTCGTGTACAAAGGAAAGTGCGATGTTTTCTATTAATGATTTCACCTTCCTGAAACGAGGAGAGAATTTTGAAGGTGGAGCACAGAATTTTGCTTAGGTGAATGGATGGTGCTGGAAAGCTGTCGGTTATATCTCAAATTTTCGAGAAGGTCTTATCCCGATTTTCCTCAGGACACTAAAAGAAATTCTGTACATAATTTTTCATGCCATCCATACGCTGAAGCATTCGTGAATTCTTCACAAGAAATTCTTCTTTTTTTTAAAGCTGAAGGATGGGATTTATTCTTTTTTTGGAAACCCAATCTGACAGGGTGGTTAAAAAGGAGCATCAACTCCCGGGAGAATTTCATGACCAAAAAAATATAAATCAACGCTTACTTGGCATTATATAAAATTCTGAAGGACTTCATATTTCATGGTTTTATAATCGAACCCGTATGACAGAAACGCGCTTTAAACAGCATATCATCAAAAATGAAAGAAACTTGATGCGTGAATTTCTCAAGGGATTTCAGGGGTTCGTATGCATATTCTATCTTTTAAACTACGATCTTTTAAACTTGGTAAAAAAAAGCAGTTCGGGCGTAATTTTCCTTCAGCAGAATATTAATTTTTTTTTAAATAACAAATGGTTGCTTTCAACTACTGTACAGTATTGCAATTAATTTTCATGTCTATATGTGCGATAGCCGCTAAGTTTTTCAAAGGTACAGTTTAACAAAGCTTTTCTCTAGGTGTGAACGGCTTCGTAGTGATAACGGTGTTTTGCTGCATTTGTATCTATCTCAACATTTTATGGCTTTCACAGAATTTGTTTGATGCTTGCTCAATTTTCTCGACAGGCTGTTGAAAATAAAAACAGGGATTGTGTCGTTGGCGGCAGAATTCTATTCTTTGGCACAATAAAAGAGGCCTACACAAGACGTGTCCTCGAAGTTCGTCTCAGTTCTTGGAATGAACATTAGTTTACATAGGTGGGGAAATGTGGTGAAATCAGAAAACGAAATTTCGAGAGGAATTTTCGCAAAGAAAAAAAAGAAAAAGAACCGGTCGTGCACCCATGCATCAGTGAAGCGGAATGCTGGCTAGAAAACACACAAGAACATCTACTAAGCTACTTCAGCTCCTCACTTTTGCTGTTCGAAAACAAGGGGAATGATACACACGCATATGCTGCCAACATCACATGGGTGGTGCATGGTGGCATCAGCTGCCTCATCCCTACCAAACTCCTGCTCCAATGATCCACAACAACTCATTTCCCTTATAGCAAGAGATGAAACCCCCACCCCCTCCTCCTCCTCCTCCTCAGAAGGAGCTGCAAATTACAGCAGTAACTAACAACAGCGATCCCATGTGTGTGTGTATAGTTTTAGTGCTAGTGCACGTTACGGAACATCAGAAGTGGATAATTCACTCCAAAAAAAAAGCCAGCCAGGGCTATGGGCTGCTGTCTACCGACTACCCGGACGACGTTCACAAATGGGCGTGTTGCCTGTTTTGTGCAAGAACAGGGCAGGTTATTTGTCCCCCTAATCGGTCTCCTACGGTCTCACCCCTTCTTTTTGCACCCTAAAAAAAATGTAATTAAGGGAAGCAACCCTGGTGTCTGTGTGTGTGTGTGTGTGTGTGTGTGTGGAGGGGCCCAAGTGCATGTGCTGTCTTGGAACATTCTGCCCTTGTGATTTGAGTTTGTGCTGATGGATGTTCACAAACTTCTGACAAAAGGCTGTTTTTGGCAGTTAAAAAGATGGAAGATTCATTCTAGAAAATGCGGTATTTACCCAATGAAGAAATCTTGGTTGCCCTTGATTCCTCTCAAGCCTTTATGTATGCAATGATTTCCTGAGCTGGTCTCAGAATTAATCCAAATCTCAACATGGTTATTTCTCAGGAAGCCTTATAAATATTTTAGCAAGACTTCCTTATCCTGAACTTTGTATTTGAATCATCGTGAATAATATTGAAGAATATATATTTGATCATTTTATTTTTCCATGAATTTTATTTTGATAACCCCAGGAACATAATAAAAATATTGAAAAAAGAGCTTTGCGCCATACTACTTAAAAATACAATTTTATGAAAATTTTTTGTTCATAGAAAATTAGAAATGCTATAACTAAAACAAAAACTCCCTCAAAAACATTGAAGGTGTGGAGAGATGTTTTACATAAAAAATACTTTGTATTGATACTGTGTAGCAATACACTGATGGTGCGCATGGTATTCAAGTAAATACTGTGCAGTATTTTTGTGAAACAAAAATATCACCGTTGAATTCGATTTTCAATTGGGCTTGGGTTTAGATTTTTACCCACTGCAGCGTACCAAATAGGAATGCTTGTAACTGCAAAGTAAAGTACGTATGCAAAGTACATAAGTATATAAAAGAAAGTACATAAGTATATAAAAGAAAGTACATAAGTATATAAAAGAAAGTACATAAGTCTTATGCAGGTAAACAATTTGTTTTCCGGCCTATACTTATGAGCTATAAATCTAAAGTAAAAATCTCCCTCAAAGGCATGTGGTACTCAAGTAAATACGGTGTAATGTAAAACCTGTTTTCTTTCATGCAGACTTGATCAAAAAATCATTTTCAAAAACCTGTATCCATCCAAAGAAATCGAAATAAATTGTTACCACGTTTACCAGGTCATTATTGCGTTTATATAACCTTCTGAAATTATTCTTTTTGAGTATCTATGTTGATGGTCATCGTTCATTCAATCAACAAGATAAATCCCGTTGAAGAGATCCCAGCAGATCTCCGGTTGATGGTGTGTTCTCTTCATTCCAGCAACCATTCCCAGTTTTTGGCATATACATATCCACAGTTTACTGTTTACATAATCATCAACAGAAAGTGCCTCTTAGAATCAGCAGTGGCGTCTTATACTCGACTGGATGAGTCATAAACAACTGCAGTACTTCTTCATACACGAGCCAGAGCAGAATAAGTCGGACAGCTCAAATGTTTTCCGGCGTGCTTCTTCGAAGGAGTCGACGGAGCAAATCCCATTATCGTTGTTGCGTGGGACGTGCCGACGTTGTGTACAGCAATGGGTGTCAATAAGTGCATGCCTTGTTGCCGAAATTCCTCGCCTGCTGAGGCGTGTCTTCAGGGAATCGGGGAGACCTGACGAGAGTCGGGGCACTTTTTGCGCGATGACGAACGCTCGGAGAAGCGTCTCCCATCTTTTGTAAAAATTGTGCAATATTTATACTCAAGTCTTTGACACCTCAGAAGCATTGAACGAAAAATCATTTTTTTTTATGAAGTAAAAGGGTAGAAATTGTCTTCCAAGCATATGAATCGCACTTCGGCATTGAGGAATTCCTCCAGAACAATGACAAATTACTTGAATTTAACAAGCCTTCAATTAGTAAAGGAGATCATATTTTTTTGTGGAAGCAGTTGGAATGAGCGATTCCTTCAAATGTAAAAAGAACTTTGATTTCATTCCTTTGCTCCATCTGTCTACGTTTTATTCGCCAGTTTCATCTCAACATTACTTCCAAAAATATATTCTTATAATGAAATCCTTGAATATGACGTGCGTAGTTTGATTTATTCAACCGAATGTCAGCTTCACTCTCATGTTCAAATTANTCCCTACCAAACTCCTGCTCCAATGATCCACAACAACTCATTTCCCTTATAGCAAGAGATGAAACCCCCACCCCCTCCTCCTCCTCCTCCTCAGAAGGAGCTGCAAATTACAGCAGTAACTAACAACAGCGATCCCATGTGTGTGTGTATAGTTTTAGTGCTAGTGCACGTTACGGAACATCAGAAGTGGATAATTCACTCCAAAAAAAAGCCAGCCAGGGCTATGGGCTGCTGTGATGGCTGATGGGCCTGCTGCAAGTGTTTACCCGCACAACGGACAAAACACGTTCTTGTCCCGTCCAATAAACAGGGGGATTAGCCAGAGGATGCCAGAGTGGGGAAGAAAAACGTGGGATTTTTTTTATGTAATTAAGGGAAGCAACCCTGGTGTCTGTGTGTGTGTGTGTGTGTGTGGAGGGGCCCAAGTGCATGTGCTGTCTTGGAACATTCTGCCCTTGTGCTTTGAGTTTGTGCTGATGGATGTTCACAAACTTCTGACAAAAGGCTGTTTTTGGCAGTTAAAAAGATGGAAGATTCGTTCTAGAAAATGCGGTATTTACCCAATGAAGAAAGCTTGGTTGCCCTTGATTCCTCTCAAGCCTATATGCATGCAATGATTTCCTGAGCTGGCCTCAGAATTAATCCAAATCTCAACATGGTTATTTCTCAGGAAGCCTTATAAATATTTTAGCAAGACTTCCTTATCCTGAACTTTGTATTTGAATCATCGTGAATAACATTGAAGAATATATATTTGATCATTTTATTTTTCCATGAATTTTATTTTGATAACACCAGGAACATAATAAAAATATTGAAAAAAGAGCTTTGCGCCATACTACTTAAAAATACAATTTTATGAAAATTTTTTGTTCATAGAAAATTAGAAATACTATAACTAAAACAAAAACTCCCTGAAAAACATTGAAGGTGTGGAGAGATGTTTTACATAAAAAATACTTTGTATTGATACTGTGTAGCAATACACTGATGGTGCGCATGGTATTCAAGTAAATACTGTGCAGTATTTTTGTGAAACAAAAATATCACCGTTGAATTCGATTTTCAATTGGGCTTGGGTTTAGATTTTTACCCACTGCAGCGTACCAAATAGGAATGCTCGTAACTGCAAAGTAAAGTACGTATGCAAAGTACTGTACATAAGTATATAAAAGAAAGTACATAGTCTTATGCAGGTAAACAATTTGTTTTCCGGCCTAATTATTAGCTACAAATCTAAGGTAAAAATCTCACTCAATGGCATGTGGTACTCAAGTAAATATGGTGTAATGTAAAACCTGTTTTCTTTCATGCAGGCTTGATCAAAAAATCATTTTCAAAAACCTGTATCCATCCAAAGAAATCGGAATAAATTGTTATCACGTTTACCAGGTCATTATTGCGTTTATATAACCTTCTGCAATTATTGTTTATGAGTATCTATGTTGATGGTCATTGTTCATTCGATCAACAAGATACATACCGTTGAAGAGATCCCAGCAGATCACGGGTTGATGGTGTGTTCTCTTCATTCGAGCAACCATTCCCATTTTTTGGCATATACATATCCACAGTTTACTGTTTACATAATCATCAACAGAAAGTGCCTCTTAGAATCAGTGGCGTCTTATACTCGACTGGATGAGTCATAAACAACTGCTGTACTTCTTCATACA